CGGGGTCATCTGGCAGTCTCCGGCCACCTAAATTAGGACCCAGAGACTGCCAGATGACCCCGCTCGGAGCGCCGCCCACCGGAGCAGCAGTGACGCGGCGAGGTAAGTAAGAAGAAACCTGACCAGCTCGAGACGCTGACTCGAGTATAAGCCGAGGGGGGCACTTTTCAGCAAAAAAAATGGGCTGAAAAACTCGGCTTATACTCGAGTATATACGGTATTCCTATTACAATACTATATGTGTTATAACAGGATAGTATATGCTGGAACCTTAGAATTCCTTTAAAACACCCGAGCTTTTGTAGACTTCACGTTTTGACATAAGTCCAGATCTAAAGCCCATTGAGAATCTTTGGGATATGCTGGAGAAGACTTTTGTTCAGTGGTCTGACTCTCCCATCATCACTACAAGATCTTGGTGAAAAATGAATGGAACTCTGTATGGAAATAAATGTTGTGACATTGTATAAGCTTATCAAAATGATGCCATGGGGAATGCATGCCGTAATCAAAGCCAAGGGTGGTCCAACAAAATATTAGAGTGTGTGACTTTTTTTGGACAGGCAGTGCATTTCATTGGCTATTGCTTCAATTTTTTCCAAGGTGGACTAAGGCAAGACCACTTCTATAATTCCCTCAAGCTAAATGGGAGCGTGTGTCCATGTGGCATTGACTCAAGTCCAATTACACTGCCAAGCATACAACCTTCAGCACTCCAGTATAGTCACCAAGTTTCACACATTCTAAATGCATCTGGCACACTAAACAAAGCACTAGCACATACAAAGAATGTCAATTAGACCTTTTTGAAAAATACAACAAACTTGGTAAGCTTTTGGGATCAATATCGGTCATATCCCAGTGTCAATGATGCTACGAAAATAGTACATTACTGAATGCTGTATTTTATGTTACCAGGAATTTTAGGTCTCTGAATCAGGAAGACCAACCTGAAGCAATAATTGATATATTTAAGAGCTGTAAAATGTATTTTTAAGGTTTAACTCCTGAGTTTAGTGTCACTTTAATTGTACCTGTATATGAGTGACTGGCTCCTAAAAAAAAATACTGCAAAACTGGCTATTCTAGCTCGGGGGGCACTCAAAGTTCTGCAGGGTAGTTATTGGTGTGACTATTTGCTGTACTGAAATCTGGGACATTACTATTTAAGATATTAGTAGCACCAGTTACACTACCATATACGATTTACTACCACCAAGATTTTGAAAAGTTAACCCTTTGCAGTGGGGCTACTAATCATAAACAAATCATTTTGGGGCTCAAATAAAGGAAATATACTTACTTGAGCCTCAATCCCACCTGGCTGCTAGGCTGGTCCCCGCTGCCTCTTCTCCCCCGGACTTTCGCAGTTTAAGGACCACTGACATCATCACGTCTATGCAAGGTCCATTCACTTGCATTAGACGTGAGGATGCCGAGGGACATTACACAGCAGGAGTGGATGGGGAGAGAGGTGAGCGGTCACAGGATAGGTAGGTGTATCTTCTTCCATTTTTAGACCAAAACCGGGGGGTAGCCCCACTGCAGGGGTTAACTTTTTAAATCCTGGAGATCTGCTTTAAATAAAACCTATACTTATTCTCCTCAATTTGACCCTAATAAATTACACTTTATATGCCCTCTGTACCTTAGAAATTGTCATAAGCTTGATTATGGGTATGCTGACACACTAGTAAATAACAAGGAAAACATGGTATGGATGCTGCCATCTTGCTTTTCTCTTGATCCCTGGTGGCGAAGGAACATGAAAGCCATCAGCACCTCTACTAGACAGTCACTGACAGGAATCAGGCTGCAAAGGAGATGGATCTTGGTGTCAACATTATCTGGGTAAGTGGCTGTATATTTAGTACATTTAACCTTATTAGACCTGACACCCTCCCCCAACTTCCCTTCTAAATTTCATATTTGCCTCTCACTAATCAGCTGAGATCTTCCTCAAACTTTTCCCAGCCAGTCTTTGCTCCCCCTGTGCATGTCTGCTGCAATGTCTGTCCTTTCCTATGTAAAGGCCATCCACTGCTCCAAGAGAGTAGCCTATAGTCTAATTGGCAGCCAGACCTCCAGTTGAAAAGCTTAACTTAGAAAACTGAACAAGCATGTGATGTTATAGCTCTAGCAACAAGTGTTCATATATATATATTGTAAGTACAAATGTTCTGCATAAACTAATTGAGTGTTGTTGTTTTTGTTTTACCTTACTGGCTTCAATCTCGTCCATCCTTTCATGGATTATTTTGACCAGTGAAGCAATGTTATAAAACTCGGCCTCTTCTAAAACGCCTGGTGGGTAGATAGATAGAAGTTAAAATAAGAGTTTACTGTGATAAAAATTATGGAAATATTCAAGGCAAATGTTGCTTGTAAATTTATTTTACATATACTGTTCTCGGTATGCTAAGTCACTGTTCCATTTGTTTTTCCGGACCTGGCCAGAGTCTGGGGTAACTAGGTGTAAACGGACGCCCATTCGTTTACATACGAATGATAAATAAAACTGTCAGGTGGACTCAATGAGATAGCCTGTGTAAAAGGGGCCGTGAGGTAAGTAATGCAGACCCTTCTTCTGCCCCTACAGTTAATAAGCATTTAACCCTTGCTGTGCAGCAGGGGAAGGGGGGTCTGGGCACTACAAGGGTTTTTTTTGTCCTCCCTCCCAGAGTTGGACTTTAAGTATAACAGCCAGGCAATTAACAGTTTCAGAAAAAGGCCAGCAAAGCCCATAGTTCCCCCAGGAGAGGATTACTTTAAGTATGCTTGTCTGAGCTGTTCATTTTACCCAGTTTATTGCATAAATTCAAGTAATGACGTGAGGCAGCTTCATGGGCCTTATAAACTGATGCTGTGCAGGAGTCCAATTAATCCCTCAAGTGCTGCTTTCAAACTCTTCCTTTGTTGCCTTCAGCATCTGTGATGACGCCCTGACCTCCATTTTTCATTATGTTATATAACAGGGCTGCCAAGTCCAATCATAGAGGGCGGCAGATAGGTAAGGATGAAGAGATATTTATCATTCCAGTTACTGAACAAAGTATTAAATAATGAATGACGATCTGCTAATTACAGAAATGATAAAACTGATTGCAATGTAACATGTTCAGACTGATGCTGAATGCAGAAGAGCATCTAGGACTTGCTGCTGCTCGGACACCTTCCCAAAGGCTTGTGGTAGAAGAACAATTGAAATCTCTGTCTGGGGGCAGTATGAACGATGTTGGGAAGAAGTGATACAATGCAAAGCCTGGGCCAACATATAAACTGAGACATTTGCCTCAGTGCACTTTGTCAGATTGGGTGTTTGAGGGGTGATAGGGTGTTCTTCTCCCATTCCCGATGTCAGAATGTAAATAAAGGTTATCCATTACATTCCCATTTTCATGGGAATGCGGGGGCTACCAATGTTTTTTGGTGGTGGAGGGAAAACATCTCCTTGAAGATTTCTAGATCGTTCTACAGTCACCCTATATAAGGAAGGTGCCCAGGGAAGTCAATGCCAGTTGTCTGAATCGCAGCTCAGCAAGACCCCTCCCTCTCTCCCTAGTCGCGGTATTTTATGTGGTTTGTCACCTCATCAGTGAGGGGGACTATACCCTTAAGTGATTGATTTGCTCGAGTTGTAATGACTGGGCAAGGGGTTGGTTTTAAAGATTTAATAGTTGGTTGATTTCAATTCATGGTTAATAAAGATTATAATAGATTTATTTATACCAATAAAATGCCACGGCCAATATTTGCCAATTCTTGTGTGCGTGTCTTATTTCTTTAAATTATGTAATATGATGTTATGTTTATAGTCACATGTCACCTGCCGTCCCCATGTCCTTCAGTGTCCTCACGTCTAAATCAGTTCAATATATCTACATAAGACATGATGACATCAGTGGTCCATAGACCGCCAGAGCGAAGGGGAGAAGAGGCTGTGGGGGCCAACCTAGCAGCCCAGGGAGATTGGTGAAACTGAGGATCAGGTAAGTAAAATCAGCTTTACTAGGGTCCCCTAGAAGTGAATGAAAATCTCCCTGCTGGGAACCATAGTTCTTTGGGCCTTGCTGACTACCTGGGATTTCCTCTCACTATCTGACAGGAAGTGTATGAAAATCTCTCCAATGGGAATCCTAAGTTTTGGCTTCAGTTCTATTTTAAAGGAGATATTTCACAAATCGATGTGCCTGTAGGGAGAATCATTAGACGACAGCTGTCATTCTATGCCATACCTGTGCCAGGCAAGCGGGTACAACATCACTGCTATGCAACTATTACACAGCCTATAAGTCAGCTTTCACCTGAGACTTTTCCCACGGGCACTTTGCTTCACAAAAGATTCCTTGTAACAAACACATGCACTGAAATAGAAAAATTACCTTCAATGGAAACATTCTTGTCTATGACCAGTTTGCCGTATCGCAAATACCGTAAGATGGCACCAAAGTAAGACGGGTCTCTGTCAATTAGAAAGGCTCCTGTCTCATCCTAAAGAGAGTGTGAGAGAGAAAAGCATGGCGTGACCCGGAGGATTACTAAAAACATTATGGGTATTAAGGGCCCGTTCACAAAGGCCCGATTCCGGTGGGAACGCACAGGATCGCATTGTGGCCGGCTCACTTTTTTGTGGGGTGGGAGGGGGCGTGGCAGTCCATTGAAGTAAATGCAATGCGATCGTCAGCACGGGAACGCAAGGCGCATCAATGCCTGCCTGCCGTCCGGTCAGAAACAATAGTGCTTGCAGCATTTTTTCTGACCGGACGGCAGGCAGGCATTGATGCGCCTTGCGTTCCCGTGCTGACGATCGCATTGCATTTACTTCAATGGACTGCCACGCCCCCTCCCACCCCACAACAAAGTGAGCCGGCCGCAATGCGATCCAGTGCGTTCCGGCCAGAACGCACTGTGTTTGGTGCAAACGGGCCCTGAATGAGGAAGACAAATGTGGGATAAAGCAGAAGACAGAAAAGAAAGTGAAATTTATAAAACCTGGAGCAGAGTGGGGGAAATGTTTTTACAGACAGAATCTGGAGCAGTTGCCCATAGTAACCAATGAGCTTCTCTCTTCAGTTTGTCCAGTTAAAGAAGAACTCCAGGCAAACGCAAAAATGAACCGCTTGTTTTGGTCTGAGGCAAACTCTGCCCTCCACCTGTGATGAAACTACAACTCCTATGATGCATAATGCATTTGTCTCTGGAAGTCATGCCTGTAGCTGTCAGAATCTTGCAATGCCTCATGGGATTTGTAGTTCCACAACAGCTGGAGGGTCCAAGTTTTCCCACCCGTGGCCTAGGGGCTAAAATAAAGAAAATATGATCACCTGATCCTTGTGAGGTGAGCTCTGACCGCCACAGGACCAAGGTGGGTATATCTTCTTCAGGAGTAGGCAAACTCTGTCCCTCCAGCTGTTGTGGAACTACAAATCCCATCATGTATCTGCCTCTGGGAGTCATGCCTGTGGCTGTCAGAGACTTGCAACACCTCTTGGGACTTGTAGTTGCACCACAGCTAGGGGGTCGGAGTTTGCTTACCCCGGCCCTAGACCAAAATGAGCAGTTAACCCTTGCAGCGCAGCGGTAGCCCCACTGCAAGCGTTCATGTTTCCATTGCCTGGCGTTCTTCTTTAAGCTTTGAAAATTAAATATAGAAGCTGTCGGTTGCCATGGGCAACTGCTCCAGATTCTGTCTGCTCCAGTTTTGATAAATTCCTCTCACAAAATCTGGAGCAGTGTCCCATGGACCAATCAGCTTCAATCTTTCATTTTCAAAGCTTATCTGAACAAACTGAAGGGAGAAGCTGATTGGTTACTATGGGCAGTTGCTTCAGATTGAATCAATTCCCTCCAAGGTATCTTTACCCCATAGTGAGAGTGAAATGACTGGGTGTCAGAAAAGGATGGAATGCAGAGTAATAATAGAAAGATGCAGCCTGTGTGTCTCACCGTCTCAGACAACAACTGGGACTCCTGGCAGAGGCGACAGAGGAAGGAGTTGGGCTCCTGGCACAGAGTCTGCTTTGTAGTGAGGAAGACCGTGCCTCCTACATTCAGACGTACCCACTTCCCCCCCTCGCAAACCGCCCGCTGTGTGCCAATCTCTCCGGCAGCAGCGATACAGTGTGGCACCTGCATCATCTTCTCTTCTGTCTCCTGATATAACATGCCGCTCTCTGGTACCTCGGGATTTCCGATAAACAGCTCTGTGAGATTACTCAGATGTTAAGACAGACCAAGAAACTCCGGCTCCTGGAGAACTCCGTGCCCTGGCGCCGTACCGGAGGCGTTCTCTTTTCTGGGACTAATGACTTTTTCATCGTTTACATCCTTTCTTCTTCGTCGCTGCTGTCGTCTCTGTACACCACACCCTCTCTCGTGGGATATGTTGTCACCGCAGGTGTACTCTAGTCACAAACCTCTCCGAGTCCCATCTGTCATTGGATCATGTTTCTCACCTCGACAGCAAGCTTGTCAGTAGCAACTGCTATTCTGGTCCTTCCATGAATCTCAAACAGATCTGCGACATCCTGGATGCCCCGTACATTCAGAGTATAAACAGGAGAACAAGAAATAAGAAAAGCTTAGCGGTGTCACCTTCCTGGCAGAGAACACGAGCTGCTAATTCAAATTACTTTAAAGAAGGGGGAAATCAAAAACTTACCCTTGCAGGGGAGCTAACCCGCGCAGTGTAAGGGTTAAGTGCTTGTTTTGTCTAGGGGGAAGTATTACTCACCACCTGATCCTCGGTCCCACAGTGGTCGGCGCTCATCTCTCTCCCCCTCCGCTACAGCTAGGGAATGTCCCTTTAATTCTTACATCTAATGGACCTGCGTAAAAAGTCATGATGTCAGCGGTCATTAGACCACCGGAGAAGAGACTGCGGGGACTGGTCTAGCAGCCTGGAGAGAGCCAGCGGGTAAATCTGCTTTAAGTCCCCTAACCAAATAAAAACGTAACCCTTGCAGTGCTAGCCCCACTGCAAAGTTACGTTTTTGATTTAAAGTTTTAAAGCTGAACAAACTTTAATTTAAAGGGTTATTAAACCCTCAGCGGGGTTTAATAACCCTTTTTGCAAGCAGTAGATATATGCAAAAACATTTAAAAAAACGTTTCAAAAGGGTAAGAGCTTCCCTGCGTCTCCGCTGCACGTTCCCACCCGAAGATCTGAGTATTCTCGGGCGGCCGCAAAGTATCTTGGGGCGGGCACATGCGCAGTTCAGATCTTCATCGCTGAATACTGAAAAATGGCCTGGATGGGAAGGGGGTTTAACACCGCGGATGTCAACTAGTTAAGACAGAGGAGTCAGTGCTGGACCAGGGACCGGCACCAGCGCTGGAGGGACTTTCTCAATAGCAACAAAGGATATAAATACACCCCTTGTGCACCAAATGTCTTTGCAGACCCAGATATTACCCTCTAAAAGTAGTGGTAACATCATCATTATGCTGTACATAGCCTATGCAGAGTGCAGACTTGCGGGAGGGACCCATGAGGCCCCTCCCACTACAGACTGCCTGCATCAAACTACAAGAGGGGGCAGATACAGGACCAGTCACCCTGCACAAGGAGAAAGAGCAGTGACCAGTCTTTGTTACAGGAAGCTGCACGTGTCACACTGAATTACTACACAGATCTGAAAAAATACACAAAGCACTCCAAGATTCAAGTAAGAATACACATGCCTCTTGTACTGAGACAATATTTGCTCATCCTGGAGTTCAGCTTTGAAGTGTTTTTAAACCTTGAAATAAACAAATCTTTATTTAGTAGTTTATTATTATTGGTGTTATATATTATTTTTTTATTAGTTTATCACTAGAGATACCCATTAGTGATGCTTTAAATGTACATCCTAACCAAAAGCAAAACAGTCCATGGCATTCAGTTACAGACCCGAACCGGACGCTGAGGTTTGCAAATATGTGGATTTCAATAATAAGCCTGAGTCACTGAAGTAAAGCAAAACTGTCACAGACTTGGACAATACAACCTAAACATATGATGGGAAAATACAGACGCTGAGAAAATTCCACTTTCGTAAAAAAAATAACAAAAGAACCCCAAAACACATACAGTACATACACTGAGTGGCCAGATTATTATGACCACCTGACATTTGTAGGCAAATTAGCTATAATTTGGCGTTGAAGTTGCTAGAGGGTCAGACCATTATACATAAGGAAGCAGGTTGTTTACCACGACAGTAGAAGTGATTTGTTTCTGAAGATACGAGGAAACAACGCGATTTAACAGCATTTGAACGTGGGATGATTGTTGGCGCTCGGAGCCATGGAGCGAGTATCAGCAAAACAGCAGAATTCGGTAAATGTTCAAGAGCAGCTGTTGTTAAAGTGTTTAAAGACTGGACTGTCAGCCGAAAATCTGGGTCTGAGCGTACGAATTGTGGCCGTCAGCAACTAGTCAATGTTAGGGCAGAACGGAGAGTGGCAAGGCTGGTACAAGACAACAGAAGGGCAACAGTGCAGTGTCAGATTCCTCGCATCACCTTTCAACATCTCGTGGAGTCACGAGGCGGCCCAACTAAGTCCTCTCGTGGAGTCATCTCGTGGCCCAACGAAGTACTGATGGGGTGGTCATAATAATCTGGCCACTCAGTGTATATACAGAAGGGAATTTATCAAAACTGGAGCAGACAAAATCTGGAGCAGCTGTGCATGGCAACCAATCAGCTTCTCTTTTTCATTTTCAAATCTTAACGGGACAAACTGAAGATAGAAGCTGATTGGTTGCCATGCACAGCTGCTCCAGTTTTGATAAATTCCTCCCACAGTATATTAGGGATGCACGATACCGGTTCTAATCCGGAACCCGGGAGGGAGGACATTATTCGCTGTTCAGCCGCCTCGATGGTGATTGGCTGGGAAGCCAGCTTCTCAGCCAATCAGCAAAGAGTCGGCTGATCAGCCGGCTTGATGTTAATTGGCCAGGAAGCCGCCTTCTTAGCCAATAGCATGGAGCCGTCTTCCCAGCCAATCAGGAAGCCAGGAGACAGTTCATTACTTGCCACCTGGCTTCCTGATTGCCCAGGAAGCCGGCCCCATGCTCCTCCATGGCACTGCTGATTTTCCCAGAAGTCTACATTAAGATAAAAGTCAAATTTTAGGCATCCCCTGCAATATAAATGTCCTTTATGGTGAGATACCCTTAATGGTTAACTACTTCTAAAGTGATGCATCGTTTTTTTAAATCAATATGCAATCTAGAAATACAGGCAGCTACAGTGATATGCAAATCCTGACTTCTCCTGTAAAAGTCAAGCTCTGCCCCACCCCCTCCTAAGCCTCCCATCAAACATCGAGCCTCTGTATGACATTAAAGCGACGCTATGAATCCCTCACTGCCAGAGCTTTCACGTTTTATATTTTTTGCCATTTTTTTTTTACTTTATGTGGAGAGCGCTGCACAGCTGTGCGGGGGCCTGCGGTGGAATCACACAATTCAGGAAATTGACATAAATAGTTTGCATAAATTTCTGCAGATTAGAGGAATCTGCATGAGGGGAAAAAAAGGTTTCTCTCTAAATACAGAACATCTGCAGCAAGTGCTGGGAAAACGCGGAATAGACGTCGAAGGAGCTGGTTCTAACCAGCGCAGAGTGACGTGTTTCTGAATGCACAGAATAGAAATGACTATTAATAATATGAAAGTAGTATATAACTCTCACATCTTTTCAGTACTGAATCCAGATCAAACAATGAAACCTTGCTCAGCAAAGTATTTCATAACTCCCCCTTAGGGCTGCCACCTTTTCTTCTAACGAAACCCGAACACTCTAGCAACGCACTGAAATTTTTTTGGGGAGAATGAGTCGTGGCTTATTCATATAAAATAGCGCCGTCCGTTCATATGTAAATATCACAGTTTAGACTATTTTCAGTGGGGGGCCAGTAGCCCCTATCCTAATTTTGGTTGCCCCTGTCTGCATGACATCTTGTGTCCGGGTTTCAGCTGCCATGAAACCCGGACACAGCATTCAAAACCCGAACTGTCCGGGTGAATCCTGGACAGGTGGCAACCCTATCCCCCCTCTTTTTTTTTTCTCCTCCCCAAAGCAATATGTCGCTTACTGACCCATGTACTATCACAGCTTTGTACGCCACGTGCACAATAACTGCTACTTTACCTCGCTATTATGATCGGTGCCTTGAATGTACTAATTTGTATTGTTACTAGAATTTTCAGGGGCCACTGGCTTTACATGACTGGCTTATGATACATCTATGCAAATATTGGGCCTTTGGCCATGTTTTCTTCTGTTATTTCATCCTGTGACACATTACATTGTATGGGTCTTGCAACTGTGGTTTTCATCACCTGTATTGTGAAAAATGTTAAATAAAAACTATGGTAAAAAAAAAAAAGTATTTCTTAACTTGTTGGCCTTGTTCACACCAAACGCGTTCCAGGAGCAGAGCAGAGCAGTTACGGACCGGATCAAAACTGCGTCCAATGTATTCCAATGGTATTTTGGGCTCTAGTTCACACCGCAGCGTTCAGTTCCAGAGCATGTAAAAAAAACTGTATCAAGCCCTATTTTACCTGCTCTGGAACGCATGCAAACACCCTCGAACGCACTGAAAGCCCATTTTAAACTTTAAAAATAACGGCCCGGAACGCTTCAAAAACGCATTAAAAAGCGCGGCACAACCCACTGAGAAACTCATGCAGATTTGGTCTGCATTTGGTGTGAACAAGCCCTTACAGTCATCATGTTTGCAAACATCTCCAACTCTGTCAGCTCCGCTTCTCTGAACTTTCTGTCCAGCACAAGATCCCAAGGGACAGAGCCACTGTCCATCTACTAGCTTGGACAGGGGAAGAAGGGAGTGGCTTGTCTTACTGTGTTTGTGGAGACGCACACAGCTTACTAGCACACACAAGGGTGGCTCTATAGGACCCTGCAAGGGAAAGGAGCCACCCTAAAACAGGATTTCAAGACCAGCTGATTCTGCAGGAAACAAAAACTTTTAAAAATCAAGGAGCACCATCCATTGCAAGTGATTTCATCAGCATTAGAAATAGGTTAAAAACATTTTGACTTAATGTCACGTTAAGTGTAAGGTCATAAAGGTAAAGGACAGAGCAGTCTCCAGCAGCTGTCCATCTTTGGTTCTAGATCTACTTTAAACAGACTCACCATTTAGCTGCTCAATGGCTCGGACATGCCGACATTCATCCTTTTCTCCTGGCTGCCCTGGTAACTCAATTTCTAGAGTTGCCAATATATTTATTTCCTAATTACACTGAAGCTGAGCCTGTGGACACATAGGTGTGCTATTCCTTGATTCCTGCACCACCCTCTCTCTGTGC